GGTCAGTCTACCGTTGAGACGGTAAAACGGTGAGTTAGTGAGACATAAACTATGCTGATCAGCAATTCTCATCTGCAGTGTGTGCTTCTGAGCACCCGGTACTGTTTTCATTATAGTTTCTGCTTGATTTGTTGGGTGTGGTCATGTTGAGCACCCTTGGGTACGAGGGTTCTCCCCATTGAGGGGTAACCTCAAATAAGGCGATGTCGGTTAGCCCTTGACCGAATTGTATCGAAAGCACCTAACAAATCATTAACCGTGGAGGATCTTTCCTTCAGTTGCGGAGGTTCATGTTTGTGATTAAGGTCCTTCATATCTTCTTGATGCTGCTTAACTCTCCCTTTGCGATAAAATTGACGTTACCGCGGGGACTGAAATTGTGGCCTCGTAGAACTTGATCATTTGGCACGTCTATGGTATGTGGACCTTTTCTTGTAGGTTTTAAGTTGATGAGAAGTCGGTTCTGTATTAATTGGTTTTCAAAGAAACAAAGAATCCTGTGAAGCCAGGTGAAGCTGACGATTCTGTGAAGCTGGATGAAGCTGAGTCTCCTGTGAGGCTGGATGAAGCTGAGTCTCCTGTGAAGCCGGATGAAGCGGAGGATCCTGTAAAGCTGGATGAAGCTGACGATCCTGTGAAGGTGGATGAAGCTGAGTATCCTGTGAAGCTGGATGAAGCTGTGAATCCTGTAAAGCTGGATTAAGCTGACGATCCTGTGACGTTGGATGAAGATGCGTATCCTGTGAAGCTGGATGAAACTGAGTATCCTGTGAAGCTGGATGAAGCTGACGATCCTGTGACGCTGGATGACGAAGCGTATCCTGGAAGCTGGATTAAGCTGACGATCCTGTGACGCTGGATGACGAAGCGTGTCCTGTGAAGCTAGATGAGGTACGGTTTCCAGAGCGGGTGAATGTAGTGAACTTAACGGGTCTTCTCACCAGTCAGAGGTTCAGCCTTTGGTGGGAAGGGGGTTGCCTGAGTGTGATCCTTTTTTGTTAAAGGATCACGTCGGGGTCACCAATGTTTGTGCCTAACCGAAGTAGACACTTCTGGGTCACAACGCGGTTGGTTCTCCTCAATATTGTTCAATCTCATCGTCTTGTTAGCCTGTTGATTAACAGATCCAGTTGGTACCCTTTTATTTTGGGCTTGACCTTTCAAAGTGTTCTGGGTTTCATTTCTTTTGGTTTGATCCAACTTGTTCTGATTATAATTGTTATTTTGGTATTTGTTAAAGCCTTGATTATAGCGGCTCCAGGAACTATTTTTACTTTGATTATAATTACTATAAATATTCCTGTTCTGATTATTGTCTTGGTTAAACTTGTTCCTCTAATTGGTATTGTCCCTCTGGTTGTTAAAATTATTGTTTTGTAGTCTTGGCTTGTGGTTAAAATGTGTTTGTTCATTTCCGTCCGAGTTCGGCTCGGGGAAACTATTTGTAAAATTAGCCCTATTGAACTATTACCATTGCATTGGTAGGTATGGAGGATTCATTGAGAAAACTGTGTCCGAAATTTGGCCGTTAAGGCCGGTAAGGAAATCTCTGAGAGCTGTCTTTCTATGCTTTTCCTTCATATTTGCTGTTATTGGTTTATTCCTACCATAAGTCATAGGGGTTTTATTGATTCATAGATAGTAAAAGTGTATACTAGATTCGTCGGAAAGTATGTAACAGGCAGAAAGAAGCGTTTCCGACCCCATAAAGTACATATATTCTTGATCAGGATCACTAGCCGATTTGATCTAGCCATGTCCGTCTGTCCGTATGAACGCTGAGATCTCGGAAACTATAAGAGCTACAATACTGGGATTAGGCATGCAGACTCCTGAGATTCCTGCGCAGTGCAAGTTTATTTCAGAAGTGTGCCACGCCCACTCTAACGGCCACAAGCCGCCCAAAAGTGTGGCTCCTATAGTTTTGATGCTATAGCAAGAATTTTAACAGAAATGTATTAGTCTCATCAATACCTATCGATTGACACAAGTTTGCCGCGCCCATTTTAAAGCCCACAAACCGCCCACAAATTTCAAAAAATCGTAAATATGAACTCGGATATCTCGGCAACTATCAAAGATAAAGAATTATGATTCCAGTGTTAGAATTTGAAGCCTAGTACGCATCTCAAGTTTGTTACGTGAACATGCCACGCCCACTCCAACGCCCACAAACCGCCCAAACCTGTGGCGCCCACATTTATCGTGCTAGATACAAAATTTTAACTGAAATGTATTGGTCTCGTCAATACCTATCGATTAATTCCAAAAAAATTTGCCACGCCCACTCTAACGCCCACAACGCTTAAATCTGTCTACCGCCGGTAGGTGGCGCACCGTACCATTTCACCGTACCATTATGTGTTAAGGTATTATTTGCCATTCCCGTTATTTTAGTACTTAATATTGATAAGGCAGAATAAAACTTTTCACTGCCTCTGGCACGTTGCCCCACAGCTATTTTAGCTGATTCTCTCCAACTAACATATTTTTCTTCGTCACCCATATATTCTCTAACCAATTTAATGATCTCATACGACGAGTCGCTTTTAATATTGGGATCTATAACCTCTATCTAAAAATCTTCAACCTTTTTTATTTTGTTAGATAGCTGCGATCTTAAGTTCACGATGTCCTCTTTTAATGGACTCAATTCTTTGTTACCGTCTGATGGTTTGTAGGTTCTAGAGGCGAATTCATTATGTGCGGTCTTTTGTTTGTTCCAGCCTGGCCGGTTGAAGGCTTTGAAGGATACGTGTTGGGGCGGGGTGGCTTGATCGCTGAAAATAGCTGAAGAGACAAGAACGAATGGTACGCAAAAAACACGGCGGTACTTTAGGGTTTTTACGCGACATAGATGTTTATTGGTTCACTTGGAAATAAGAACTCGTTAAGCCTAACTTAACTTAAGCGCAGAGCAGAGCGCAGACTTAGGGGAGAGATGGAGAGGGCGAGCGAACGGCAGTGCGAACGCGCGAGATGTAGGCATCTGGATAAAACTGCCGCTCGACACTGTCTCCTGAAATTTAACGCCCTTTTGACGTAAATGTCTTGGTAGCCTTGACTCGTCGCTTGTGACCTTTGGTACTTCCGACGGTCCTGATTGACTCGACGTCGAAACCGTGTGGCTCTCCTGGACAACTCCACTCGAGACCGTACCGATCGAACGCTCTCCCTTTTGGCTTGTTATACTCGTTATCCTCCATGCGTAACGCCAGGAGTTTGTTGATAGGGTTAAGCCGACCGGCATGACCTAGCCCTGTGATGCCCTCTGGACCTCAGCTACCTGGTATCCCAATCCCGAACGTCTCGACGTAGCATCTTGCTCCTCGTAGGCTCCCACGGCGCTGCTTCTCCGACGACTCGACTTGCTGTTGCTCCCTTGCATATTATCTGGCTGTTTTGATTGTTCACTTTGTTAATATGATTGATCTTGACGGTTAGACTCCTTGTGATCCAGCTGCCAGCGCTCTGCGGCCTTATATAGGGCCTCCGGGAACCGTTATTTCCCTTTTGCGCATGGCCCGCTGGATCTCTCCACTCCGGGTCCAAAGTCCGTGCCTCCTGGCTGACCCACTTGTCCTTCACGTACCGCTTCCAATCGATGCTCCGCCCACTGCTGCCGTCCCGCTGATTCCCGTGATGCTTGTGGCACGCCTGTGTGCCGCTCCACTTCCGAGATGTGGAACTTCTTCTCCCGATCCAAAGTTCACGGGAGAGTCCAAAGTCCGGTGGAGTTCCGTTATCCGCTTTTGCACACGGCACTCTTGCCTTGCCCGCGAAGTCTCCATTCGCTCTCGATCTCCATCCTTGGTCTCCAAACTCTCTCGTTCTTCATCCTTGGTCTCCAAACTCTCTCGCTCCATATCCTTGTTCTCCAAACTCTCTCGTTCTCCATCCAAGTCTCCAAACTCTCCTCGCCGCGCCGTTACTACGCGAATTCGCCGCGTATCTGGTAGGCGGCCGGCCATCTGCTGCTGCTTCTGTTCGTGGAGAATTATTCAACTCCTCACATTCTCCCCTTACTTTGGGAAACATTTAAAACTTGTTCCTACTCTCCGGCGTTTCCTTGCATATCCTAGCCTTCGAGTACTTGTGATTCTCGCGGCGCTCCCTCGTTGCTCCCCCGATGCTCCCTCGACGCTCTTAACTCTACTGAGTTCCTACAGCGCTGGTCATCCTCCTCGTAGCAACTTTAAATCTCCCGCGTCGATATTTCCCGTGGTCCACTGGGACATCGATACTCATGGTCTATCGATCCCCAGCTCACTGCTCCTTGCTGCGTCCCACACCTTTTCACGGTTCCTCCGCCTGGTCACACCATACGTGCGTGATCGATGTTTCTGCGACTATCAACACCGGCGGTGCGGAGTTGCCCCCTGCTTGTTACGATATTTCCACCTTTGCCGATATTTCCATTTTCGTGTGCCCATCGAGGCGCCCCCTTCCCAGGCTCAAGGTGATTTTGCAACTTTATAGGTAAGTTTTCGCATTTCTTCACTCCTTTCTATTTCATCCTTTCTCTCTCCATACGACCTCTATCGCCTCTCGTCTCTCTCTCGCCCTTCAATCGTCCTTTGCAGGCTGAGCCTGGCTCCACGCTGGCAACACTCGTGAGCGGGTGCGGAGAGGACTTCGCATTTGCTTCGCAGCAGGTGAGTATTTTGGTATTCGTTTGGCTGCTTCCTTTATTAACCCAATGTGAACTTCAGGATGCCGGAGCTGCCACGTATGCCCCTTTCTTCTGGCCCCTGTTTCAGCCGCGTTTCCCGTCCTTTGCCGGTTTTAAACTCTGCTTCGTTTCTTTAATTTTTAAACTTTATTCGGGTGCTCCTCGAACACTCTCGTTCCCGCAAGCCCCAACCGGACTCGGAACGCGCGCCCCTCTCTCCATACGCGCACGCTGCGCCTGCCGCCCAGGCAGCGATCCCTTCGGGCCATTCGTGCTCCGCGATCTCTCGCCATCGCTGGCCCTCCAGCGCCGACACCGTCCGCGACAATTACGGGCGTCCTCGCTCCAGCGGCTCATCTGGCTCCGCGGTTACCGTCGCGCTCCCTGTTGGCGCTGGCGTCCATGGCCCTGTCCTTGGCGTCGTCGGTCCGATGCTCGGTGTGGGTGGGGCCCAATGCTCCGGTCTGCCGCGGGTTCTGGGGTCCAGCGGGCTCACCCGGGGACCACTCTCTTCCCAGATTCGGGGGTCCTCCGTCGCCGCCGTCTCCTCTGCGGGTCCCTCCGGCCAGGTCCAGACGACCGTCTGTTGCCGCCACCTTACCCCTTCGGCCACGAACGTCCGGGTACTGTGGCTCATGTGGGCCGCCGGTATGTCCGTCCGGATGTGTTGTCCCGTCGGGTTCCCTGGCTGTTGCTGCGGCGGATCGGTCTGTTGCTGCTGGCGTCGCTCGCGTTCGGGCTGCTGCTGCGGTGGTGGCTGCTCGCGTTCGATCTGCTGCTGCGGTGGTGGCTGCTCGCGTTCGAGTTGCTGCTCCGGTGGGGGCTGCTCGAACCTCGGCGTGGGTGGTCGTGCTGGCGTCCACTGCGGTGATCCCTCGTACCGCGGTGTGGGTGGGATTTCGGGCAGCCACCGCGGAGGTGAGGACGCCCAGTCTTCTGGCACTTCTGGCGGCGGGATGCAGGGCTCGGGCGCATACCTCAAGGTGGGTGGGTACCCTGGGTTTTCCCACAGCTGCTGCTCCTCCTCCTCGGCCGTCCGCAGTTGGGCCTGCCACTCCGGCGATTTCTCCATCTCCTTGAACCCCCTCTCCTCGCTCGCCGTCGAGCCTCGCACTTCCGTCGATATTCCAACGTAGCCGCTGCCACAGACTCGGCATGGCTACCTCGACCTCCGCCGCGCCAGTCGGGATGTGGCCCTCGGCCCGGTTGACCGCTTTGCGAAGCCGCCATCGCCGCTGCTTCACCCGCGGGTCTTCCACCAACTCGACGTCGCTGTCGGAGCTGATGACCGGCTCGGGAACGCCCCGCCTGGAGATCCGCCGCGAGGTTCGGGTAGGCCGGGCAGTCGACCACCCTTCCCCGGGCTGGATCCTCCGGACGGATGGTGGGCAGCCATCATCTTGCGCGCTTCGATTTTTATTGTTTATTTGAAGCCTGGGCTCCCTTCAACGACACCTCGGTTCCGAGCCTTCCTCTTTGCTCAATCCCGCTATTTCCTTCGGTCTCTCCTTCTTACTATCCACATCTACGGTACAGCTCTCTGCTCTGTGCCGTCTTCCCCCTTCATTCGGCAGACTGTTGATGCGTGTTTTTTTTTCTTTCCTCCAATTAGTCCCAATCGAGTCTTTAGACGCTCTGGTTTGCGTGTTATTCTCATGCATGTCTCGCATCCTCGCACGTGGCCTCGGGCGTCTCCGTGCATTCCTGGCCAGTAATACCGGGCTGCCAGACGTGCTATTGTCTTTCGGCTTCCTACATGGCCAGCCGCCGGTGAGTCATGGTTCTCCTTCAGCACCGTTTCCCGTACATCTTTCATGTTGCGACATCTTCGCTGCCTGATCTATGAGGTATATTCCTGTACAGGGTGTTACCCTCCATCACGTAGTCCGGATACTTTTGCGGCTGGGTCCTTATCTTTTCGCGCATTTCCAGAATCCAGCTGCAAGCTGCAGAAGCTTCCGCCGCCGACGTCTCCTTGATCCCTCGAAGTGTTTCCGGCAGTGGCTGCCTTGACAAAGCGTCTGCCACCACGTTGAGTTGCCCTTTCTTGTACGCTATTTCGAAGCCATACTGCTGCAACTCCAGGGCCCATCTGACGATTCTCCCTGAAGGGCTTTCTATGCTGTTGAGCCACTTCAGCGCCATGTGGTCGGTTACTACTTTAAAGTGGTAACCTTCCAGATACGGCTTGAGATTTCGGATCGCCCAGACGATTGCCAAGCACTCCTTCTCGGTCGTTGAGTAATTCTTCTCAGCGCCGTTGAGCGACCGGCTTGAGTAAGAGATTACCTTTTCGCCTTGTTCAGTTTCCTGGGTCAAGATTGCCCCGATGCCGTAGTCGCTCGCGTCAGTTTGCAAGATGAATGGTTTGTCGAAGTCAGGGCATGCCAGTACGGGGTCTGCGACGAATCTTGCCTTCACCTCTTCGAACGCCGTCTGATGTTCCTGTGTCCACACCCACTTATTGCCCTTGCGTAGCAGATCGTTGAGAGGGTTTGCATATTTTTCGAAGCCAGGTTCAAACCGGCGGTACCATGATGCTACGCCCAAGTACTGTCGGAGCTCTCTTACTGTCGATGGTGGTTCTAGTTTGGCGATGGCTGCTACCTTCTCCGGATCCGTGCCTATTCCTTCGCTAGTCACTCGATGACCAAGATACAACAGCTCTTTCTTGAAAAATTGGCACTTCTCCGGGTCTAGTCTCAGATTTGCCTCCTTTAGCCGTCGGAACACTTCCTTCAGGTTAGCCTTGTGTTCTTCCAGCGAACACCAGATCACCTTGATGTCATCCTGGCAAGCAAATGCGTGCGGCGACATTTCGGGACCGATCACCCAGTCCAGCACCCGTTGAAAAGTCGCAGACGCCGAATAAAGTCCGAATGGCATTACTCTCCACTGGAATAAGCCTATCCCGGGCACTGTAAACGCCGTGTACTGCCTGCTGTCTGCTTTCAGTGGGATTTGCCAGTACCCATCCTTTAGGTCCAAGCTGCTGATGTACCGTGCTTCCCTCAGTTGATCGAGAATACAATTTATTCGGGGCATCGGGTAGGCATCCTTTATCGACTTGGCGTTGATTTGTCTAAAGTCGACGAACAGTTTCCATTTGCCCGTCTTTTTTTTAACCTTCAAGATGAGAGAGCTGTATGGGCTTGTTGAATGTTCTATGTATCCCATCTGGAGAAGCTCGCCCACCTTCGCATTGATCTCCCCTTGAACTTTCGGATTCTTGGGGTAGTATTGCTGCTTTATTGGTTTGTCGTCATTCATCGTGATCTGATGCTCTGCCATGTTCGATGTTCCCTTCATGCTGCTGAAACTCGGTAGCTCTGCTTCCAGAAATTTCGTCGTGTCGTCATCTTCGCTTGCCCGTTGTACGACTGCCACCGATAGATTCTCCTTGAGCCATCCCTTGTGTCGATTAATGACCGGTATTATCACTTCGTGTCCAGCGCACTTAATCTCGGTACCGACTTGTGTTAGAAAGTTCCATTCCAACACTAATGAATCCACTACCCCTGGTAGTATCAGCAGGCTCATGCTCAGTCGCTTGTTCCCGAACGCGACTTCCACCTCCAGCTGCTCATGGATTCCGCCACATCTCCCGTCTGCCAACCTAACTTGCCGTCGTGTCCTCGTAATCTTCCCGAGGGCAGCCAGGTTGTCCGCCAGTTTTTTGCTTATAAGGCTTGCTGTTGCCCCGGTGTCGATTGTGGCCTTGTGTGTGCCCCGGACAACTGCTGCTCCTCCTCGGTCAGCTTTCCCGTTAGTTTGGAGAGGTAGCATCTTGCGACCCCCGCTCGCCTCTCTGCGGGTGAGATCGCTGGGCATTTCCCGTCTGCTGGCAGCATTCAATGCTCCTGACGCCTACTCTCCCGCACACCCAGCAGAACAACAAGCGTTGGTGCCAACACCCCCGCGCCCAGTGTCCATGACCACTGCACTTTCGGCAGGCCTCGTGGGGGTCTGTGATGTGTTTCGATTCACGAGGCCTTTGTGTGGTGGCCTCCAAACAGTGTTTGCTGGGTGCATCTGTTGCTGTTGTGGCGGTGTCCATTGGCCTCCGCGTGGTGCTCCTGTTGCCTGCTGCCGTGTGACTCGGCTAGGTGGCGAACATTGGTCGTTTCCACGTGTCTCCTGGGTTCCTGTCTCTTCGCATATTCTGCATGTTACTTGCGTTGGTAATGCCGACTTGGTGTTCGAGAATTTGTTTTCTTGTGCGAACACTTCCCGCTCCTTTTCGAGTTCTTCATACTCATCTGCTAATATCATCAGCGTGTCCAGGTCCGACACTTTGTACGCCCTTAGGGAGATCCTCAGACTTGGAGTGCAGTTTTCCTTTATGATCCTTAGGGTATCTTTCGCAGAATAATTAAGTGGCCTCACCATCGTCTGCATGTCGATCATGTAGTCCTTGAACGACTCGCTGAAGCCCTGCTTCCGTTGCCTGACCTGATCCGCCAGCCTGGTGAAGAAGTCTCTCGGTAGAAAGTATGTGTGGAAACTATCTATGAACTCCGCCCAGGCTTTTCATTGTTTGTTGTTGGCGATAAACCACTTCGGAGCCCTTCAGCAATTCAGGCTTCGCTCGGGGAATCATGTCTAACTCCAAGCCGTATGTGTTGGCGGACCATTCCACCTGTTCCAGGAACTCGAACGGTTTTTCCGCCCCGTCGAACCTGAACGACCATTCGCGGACCTGTTTAGCGATCCTTGCACAGTCTGACTGACTGGGTCTCGAGATCAGCGCTGTTATTTTCCTGTCTTGGCTTGATTCTCTCCTGCTTGCCTCCTTTTGTAGGTTGTCAACGCTCAGTCTTGCCACTAAGTTGTCCCCTTCGGCGTTCGTTAACGCGATGCTCGGGCCGGCTTTGTCGTGGTATGTACCTTTCAACTCGGCCCAGATGTCAACGAGTTGTGGGTCATCATCCGTTTCTGAGTAATACTCGGACAATGCCTTTCTCATGTCCTCTAATCTGCCGTCCAGGGTGACATTAAGACTCTGTGCGACATTGGCGAAGTCCTCCTTTTTAAGCCGGTAGATCCACATCTTTCCCATTCTGTTTAAGTTGCTTTCACTGCTGGGTCAATCACGTTAGGCGCCAGATGTAACTAAATGATTTTTGTGGTCTGCTCCCTACGACGTTCGTGCGGCTAGCTCAGTAGATTGTGTGTTCGACCCACCAAATTTATATAAACGTGACCGCCCAGTAGCTCAGTGGGAAAGCACAAGATTCACGGGTTCGTAGTAAGTTTATTGCGGGTATGTTGTTACAAATGTCTTGGTAGCTTGGTGGGCCTTGACTCGTCACTTGTGGCCTTCGGTTCTTTCGACGGTCCAGATCGATTCGACGACCTCTCGCCTTGTTGACTCGGTGCTCTGTAGCGCCCTGAAGATCCTTGAGGCTTCCTGAATATGCTCGCTCGCCGCTCGTTCCTGACGCGTTGACTTGGGGACTGCCGGTAACGACCCGGACTCGCGAGTGAGATCAGCCTTACGGGTTTAGGGAAGCGTCACCGTTCTCTGACTAGGGTGAACAGAAGCTGAACAGGATCACTCCTTTCTGCCTCACTCCTGGATCACTCCTTTCTGCCGCCTGTCCCTTGCTCTGTCCCGGATGGTCCCACTGAGGTTTCTGCTCAGCCCGCGCGGACAGTCAAGGCGGAACGCCAGGAAGCTGCCTCGCGCTTTACTTTGCTTCTGCGCCTAGTGTAAACGAACGTTCCACCCTAGCCTCAATCTTGTGCATGTGGTCCGGGACGTTTCCGCGTGGCTCGCTCTGTGTTGCGTGGCTGTCGTGATGTGGTGGCTGGCTTGCTGCTGACGCTATCTCGCGCACTGCTCCTGGCGGTGCAGGCTGCGCGACTGGACGTACCGTGGCTTTTGGTACTCGGGGTTCGGGCACGCCGCTCCGGGACCTCGCAAGTCGAAACCGTAGGGCTCTCCTGGACAACTCCACTCGAGCCCGTACCGATTGACCGCTTTCCCTTCTGGCTTGTTATACTTTGGGCTCGGGCGCGCCGCTCCGGGACCTCGCAAGTCGAAACCGTATGGCTCTCCTGGACGACTCCACTCGAGACCGTACCGATCGACCGCTCTCTCTTCTGGCTTGTTATACTCGTTATCCTCCAGGCCTAACGCCAGGACTTTGTTGATAGGGTTAAGCCGACCGCCTTGACCTAGCCGATTGATGCCCTCTGGACCTCAGCTACCTGGCATCCCAATCCCGAACGTCTCGACGTAGCATCTTGCTCCTCGTAGGCTCCCACGGCGCTGCTTCTCCGACGACTCGACTTGCTGTTGCTCCCTTGCATATTATCTGGCTGTTTTGATTGTTCACTTTGTTAATATGATTGATCTTGACGGTTAGACTCCTTGTGATCCAGCTGCCAGCGCTCTGCGGCCTTATATAGGGCCTCCGGGAACCGTTATTTCCCTTTTGCGCATGGCCCGCTGGATCTCTCCACTCCGGGTCCAAAGTCCGTGCCTCCTGGCTGACCCACTTGTCCTTCACGTACCGCTTCCAATCGATGCTCCGCCCACTGCTACCGTCCCGCTGATTCCCGTGATGCTTGTGGCATTCCTGTGTGCCGCTTCACTGCCGAGATTTGGCACATCTTCTCCCGGTCCAAAGTTCACGGGAGAGTAGAAAGTCCGGTGAAGTTCCGTTATCCTGTTTTTGCACACGGCACTCTTGCCTTGCCCGCGAAGTCTCCATTCTCTCTCGATCTCCGTCCTTGGTCTCCAAACTCTCTCGCTCTCCATCCTTGGTCTCCAAACTCTCTCGCTCTCCATCCTTGGTCTCCAAACTCTCTCGTTCTCCATCCAAGTCTCCAAACTCTCCTCGCCGCGCCGTTACTACGCGAATTCGCCGCGTATCTGGTAAGCGGCCGGCCATCTGCTGCTGCTTCTATTTGTGGGGGGTTATTCAACTCCTCACATCGGGATAAAATCCAATTGGAATTTAGGAACCAATCAAGATTGTAAATATATACGGTCACACTCTCGGCAGAGTCAATAAATATGTATTATATCGGATGGTCGGACTTATGTTAACAATTGCGGACTTTAATTTTGTTTGTTTGGAAGAAACATTTTTTGGTAACTCTTGTACCACTGTGCACTGGTGAAAATATCGATATACGTTTGTATGTACACTGTACATATGTACATACATATGTTGGGTGCGAGTTGTGGAATAACGTTGCGGGAATTGTAAAGACTTCGCTTATGTTTGTTTGCCGGTGCGTTTGTTTGACACATGCACAACTAAATTGCAGACGAATTGCTGGAGTAAATTTGTGGATATTGTAACTTTGTTAGTCAGTCAGAAGTTTGCAGTGCAGTGAAGGAGACATTTCCGACCCCGTGAAGTATATATATTCTTGATGAGCATCACTAGACGATTCGATCTAGCCATGTCCGTCTGTCCGTCTGTCCGTCCGTTTCTACGCAAACTAGTCTCTCAGTTTTAAAGCTATCGGGCTGAATCTTTCCCATAAGTCTTCTTTCTTTTGCAGGTAGTATATAAGGCGGAACCGGATCGCACAACTATATCGTATAGCTCCCAAAGGAATAATCGGGAAAAAAAACTCCTATAAACTCCTACGCTTAAAAATAACATTTTTTAATTAGTTCTGAGTTTCGAATTTAATTAATATAGCTGCCACAGGAACGATCAAAAAATTTGTGGGAAAATAATATGAAACAAATTATAGCTTCGGTGTGTTTTAACTTATAAACTCCTACGCTTGCAAATAACATTTTTTAATAAGTTCTGAATTGGGAAATTAATTTTATCATAATCGGTCGACTATATCATATAGCTGCCATAGGAACGATCGAAAAATTGGTGGGAAAATAATATGAAAAAAATTAAAGCTTCTGTATTTTTATACCCGTTACTCCTATACTAGATTCGTCGGAAAGTATGTAACAGGCACAAGAAAGCGTTTCCGACCCCATAAAGTTTGGATTCCTGAGCTTCTTAATAAAATAATATGAAACAAATTAAAGCTTCTATATTTTTTAACGTATAACCTCTTACGCTTGGAAATAACATTTTTTAATAAGTTCTGAATTTGTAATTTAATTTTGTTATAATCGGACGACTACATCATATGGATGCCATTGGAACGATCGGAAAATTGGTGGGAAAATAAAATGAAACAAATTATAGACTAGGTGTTTTTTAACGTATAACCTCCTACGCTTGGAAATAACATTATTTAATTAGTTCTGAGTTTCGAATTTAATTTTATAAAAATCGGACGACTATATCAAGATTTTTTATCATGATTAATTTTATCAAAATAGGACGACTATATCATATAGCTGCCATAGGAACGATCGAAAAATTGGTGGGAAAATAATAAAAAACAAATTAAAGCATCGATATTTTTTAACATTTAACCTCCTACGCTTGGAAATAACATTTATTAATTAGTTCTGAATATTGAATTTAATTTTTTCAAAATCGGACGACTATATCATATAGCTGCCACAGGAACGATCGGAAAATTGGTGGGAAAATAATATGAAACAAATTATAGCTTCGGTGTTTTTTTTGACATATTATCTTATACTATTGGGAATATAATTTGTTGTATTTTTAAATTTAATAATTAGAACCGCAAGGGTATACAAACTTCCACTTTCTGAAGTTAGCTTCCTTTCTTGTTTTTTTTTACGGTCACTATTTTGTAATTTGGAGATTTAAGGGTAGTATTACATAAATTCTTTTCCACCTTATTTTGTATCAACACAAACTTTACCGCTTTCGTCGGTTGTATCGTGTTTTTTGGACGCACTAATTCTTTTTTCACTTTAAAATATTTTTAGCTTTTGCTTGAAAGCCCCGGTTTAGAATTTTAGTCATGCGGCTCCACGTTGGGAAACAATTAACTTTATTAACTTTAACTTCACTTATTCACTTTTACAATATTATAGGTTGAACTTGCTATGGACCTAGTTGATCCTGCGTGATATTTCGGGTCGTGGTTCCGCGAACCCTTCCTGATCACAGAATTCAACGTCGGACTCACACATGTGTAAAACCAAGCTTAACAACGCTATCACCTGCACCGCAACGTACTAATTCAAGTTCAAGCCTACAGGCTCCCGTTGTCGACACTTGGATGGCGTGTCGGACCTCCAGGGCGTCACTCAAAAATTCAGCATCTGACGCTGGGCCAGGGCAATAATTATTCTAGACATGGGCCAGTGATTGTGGTCCTCTGACCGGGAAGTGCAGGACGTCAATCCTTAAGAAAAAATTTGCAAGGTTGACCTGGCTGTTACTTTTACGGATCTCACTGGGTCTGGTCAGTTCTGGAATGGAAAGCCCATTAGTTACGGCATCACTCCTGGATCCTCACTTACCATGGATATTTCCTGCATCGACTTCCCAGCGGATCCTCCGAAAATTACTGGGTTTAATAAAAAAAATATTATTATAGGCTGGGATTCACATGCGCGCTGCTGCAGCTTGTCTTAATCTAAGATCTTAAATAAAATATAAAACCCGCCTCTACACTTTTAGTAATTCTTTCTTTAAAATCTTTCTACGAGCGCAGAAGCTATGACGCCTTTGACCGTGATAAGCCTATGCCCATTTCGCTATCGTCAACCCGAATTCCGAACATTCGGGTGACCAGACCACCCCAGCGTATATTTTTATTGGTATTAAAGCAACCCTGCGTTCTACAAGAAATTGCTATCAATAACCGTACCCGAACAGTAACCCACCCTGTGCCCAGATTTGATATCGCTATCGATAGGCCGGCCACAACAACCATACTGACAATGAACAACAAAGCAAATGCAAAAATAAAAACAAGAGAACTGGCAGTGGAAAACTGGCCACGCAGCCTTCTTAAGCGCCTAACCAAGGAAAATGTCCACGACCACAGGATACAATTCCGGCAAAATTGGAATACTGGACGGATGTCATGCCCTGGAGCCTGGCCTGAGTTACGGGTGAGCGATGCCATATCTGTATCTTGTAACAGCTTAATGCTCCTCGTCTCTTCCAGATCCTTTTCGTTGGTCGCTAGTTCCTCCAGGTTTTAGGTTGCGTCTTTTCATGTCCCATTTAGGCAATGTAGAGCTCTTCACACTATTGTTTTAAGTCCTTTACATGAAATGTTCCACACAGCTTTCTGTTGAGATCATCGATCTCTTATGGTTGCCCACCGGTTTACATATCCAGCATACAATGAATTTTCTGGCAAATTTAACATTGAAGCTCTTCCCGAAGTTATTTTGGGCAAAGTTCCTTTTGAAAACTTCTTGCCCAGGCTTAAATGTCACTTGCCGCCTGTTTCGGTTGTAATACCGCGCACTGGTTTCATGTGCTCCATGTCCCAGATTGCTGATTTCGCTGTCCGCATGGCCCTAAGAATGACGAACTTCTAAAAATGGTCTACAACAATGAATATGTATGAATGACCACTTTTTGAACGAGGATATTTTCCTAAAATATCTATATGAGGCTTTTGAAACGGTCGATATGTTATTGTTTCTTCTCCTGTTTGTGGCCTTCGTTTCCTTGCTCACCTGACAGCTTCGGATAAACCTGACGCCTTACGCAACCATTCCCGGCCAGTAAAAATGTCGTCTCAAGTGAGTTTTCGCGACCACTCGATGCGACCGAGTGGGTGGCGAATGTGCTTGCTCAATCATCGTTGTGCTCAGAGCCACTGGGACCTACAGTTTCCAGCTAATCTCCTCTGCATGAGACCCACCGTTGCGTGTTTGCGTCCGTTTGAATATAAATCCGTTGACTACCGTCACGTCCGGTAACTCATCCATTTCATCTACTACCCGAGAAGGCATATCTGCCATGACATTTTCTGAGCCCTTGCGGTGCTCAATGAGGAAGACAAACGCCTGAAGCTTCAAGGACCATCTTGCAAGCCTGCCACTCAGATCCTTGAGAGACATAAGCCATTTTAGGCTAGAGTGATTGGTTATGACTGTAAATGTCATTATCTCTATATTCGGCCGGAAACGGAAACCTGTGATCCTTCTTCTGACAAATCTAGTAAATAGTTGATTTGTTTATTGAACCGCTAGCTATTTCCTCCACCTCTTCCCTCAACGATTCGGTTTCCTTCCTGTCGGTCACGCTCAAGTTCCGGATTTCCTCCACTCTTCCCATTCGGCCATCAACGCTATTCCTGCCTCACGGCATACGTCATGCAGATGTTCCAACGTGTACACCGGACAGGATATACCCAATGTTTCATCAGCTCCGCTAGATTTCCTTGGCTGTTTTGTGCAGATTAGGAGCCAGTACCACTCCGAGGCGTTATTTACTAAAAGGCGGTGGAAATCCCAAAGCAGTTCTACCCATGGCATCCCAAAGTGCCGTTGCAGGTGCTCAACCCTGAGGATGAAAAGTTTGGCGCTCATACCTCCAGGATTGCCCAAATTTTGTAGTCCCCATTTATCTGAGGGGAACATAGCACCTCGGCCGGTTTCCCGTCCGAGCACCTGCCATTCCTGCAGATTAGTTCCTCCTCGATCCAAGCCCTTGGGTGGAATCTTGATTTCCCCTTTGGGTCCTGGGAAAAGTATCCTGTTTGCTCCTGCCGCCTGATTGTTTTCGCTTAGAGGTTGACATTGTTGTGCTCCACCGTTTCCTTCCTCCTCTGCTGAACTTCCAGCCCTTTCCGGTTGGTTTCCCTTCTTAGCTTTCTGCTTTCCTTTCTTTCCTTTGTGGATTGACATTGGTGTCCAGCCAAGTGTTCGTGGATAGAGATGACGTCGATGACGATGGTGATTTCCTCCGTTAATCCAACTTCTTCATCAACTTCATCATGCACGCGTCGATTCCGTCATCCACTAAACGCAAGTCCACTTTTATTTGCTCCTGTGAGGTGAGAATCAATTGCTGCAGTTCCCCTCTGGTGAAAGAGCCGTAAGCTGCCGAATTCTCTGCGCTGTATTTTTCCTCTATTGGATCTAGCTGGATGTTGGAGCAGGTTCCATATGTAGTAGATGCAGTTTCTAGATTTAAGCTCCTTGGAGGAACTCCCCTTTGTTGTGCGCTGAGTCGATTCTTATCCTCCATTCTCTCGCGCCCTTGGTCTTGCTCTAAATTCTCGTTGTCGCTCATTGTAGACAAACGGGTACCGCCCATAAGTTTTCAAATCCAGTTACACCAAAACAATTACAGCACGGAACCCGTATATAATACAAAAAAATTGAAGGAACTCCTGTCAATTTATTCACAGGTAAATGAGAGAAGGACAAATCCCTGATGAAGGAGTACAAACCAACTATAATCAACATGCCAAATACAAATAAGTAGCCATTTCTAATTAAACAAAGCCAAACAACTTGGGTTCGTCCACTATTAAAATCATCAATTTTTATTTACGATTCGTAGTAAAGTCAAATCTTTACCAAGTTCAAATTAATTTTCCTTTCCCATAGGTATAAGTTCTTCTATAATCCGGAAGCTACTTTCTCCCTTATTGCGAGAGTGAAGGACATCCGGTTACACCTACGACCGCAGCAGGACATTGGACTAATATTTGACCCTGAACTGGACGTCGGATGCCGGAAGGATATTTCCCCGGAAAGGAAACAATTGGAATCAGTTAGAACATTTAGTTTTACGTATTAATGTTTTTTTCTATAATTAATTGCCATTTTCATATTTATAACAAGACGCATTGTTTTATATACTTCTCTAACTAAATCCGTATTTTGTCTGTCCCCCAAGCGTCTACGCATACCGTTAACAAACTATCTTTTGCACAGTGTCGGAGGTGGCCATTTTTCGCTTTCACCGATCGCAACAGGCCATATAAAAGTTTATTTTGACCTAGTCGTCGGCTTTTGCCATATCCTGTCCTTTTCTTGTCTCTTTACTTTACAATTCTTAGTCTAACTACTTATATCTATATCACAGTTGCGGAACTATCACTTAGTATCACATCGATCGCAAAACTACTCCGGTCATGTGCCTAGGGGATGCCGCTGCTATGAGCCAGAGACAATTACTCAAAACGATATAAGCCTCGATAAGCTGGTTTCTCTATTTACAACCTGGTCTTTGATTCCTGTTCAATACCGAGCAGTCTCGCGCGCAACTGCTCTGTTCAAAAAGGATCTCTTAAGGCAGGCGTAAATTGTATTTTCCTCACTGCGGAAGTCACAGTTCTGCCGTTTATATTGGGCGCCATCTGTGATAGACCTAGTTGGCCTTGCGTGCTATTTCGTGTTTTTCCCAGGCTAGCTTACTTTCCAGGGACGTGGTTCTCCGAACCGTGCCCGATCACACACTAACAGAACTCGACGTCGGAATCACACTTGTGTGAAACCGACGCTTAACATCACTATACCCTGCACCGTAACTTGCTAATTCAAGTTCAAACACTCAATTAACAATTTGGCTACAGATATTTGGCATGGTCTGGACCATACTGCTGGACTGGAGGTCACATGCTAATCCCCCCCGACCTTGCGAACTGCTTTGAGTTACTTCTTGTGTAGCAGCCGCTCCGATTACTACAATCTGTTGTACCCTCTTACACACCCATCTTTACGTAGCCCCTTCTCCGATCCAATTCCACCTACTCCATGCTCACAAACATATCTTTAAGTTTATTGTACGAAATTCCCAAGCATATCTAAGGTCGATCCAATGTAAGCCATTAGCCAACTCCCTCCTCTTTGACCTTTCGGCTTTATCCTAGTCCTACCCTAATAGCTCTCAAGGCGGAAACTTATTTGAACTAATACAGATATTTATAAAAAATTCAGGGCAATATCACTGGTAATGGTTCATGGATCACTCTTAAAAAAAATGCTGATGTATGCGTAGATGTAGATAATATATGTAAATGATCAATATGAGTTGGTGAATAAATGAATAAAATAATAAATCAGACGAAAAACAATATAAAACAATTTAAATATACTAAAACTAATAAAAAACAAGGAAGAACGCTATAGTCGAGTACCTCGACTATCAGATACCCGTTACTCAGCTAAAAGGACCAAAGGGAAACGGAGATCTGCCAGCAGCAAAGCGAGATTGAAATGCGCCACATACCCGTAATCTCAATATATGGTTATGTGGGCGGTAGACGTTAAGCGTAATTTATGTTCATTTTTCAATAGTTCATGTGTGGTTAATTCTTTTGGCAGAATTCTGTGGCAGCATTGCTAGTGTATTGACCTGTCCAGGCTGTTTTGCTAGCAGAGTTAAAAACATAAAGCGAATCCACCTCAATGTGTCCTTGCTCCTATGTAAGTTGTCTTTAAAGAATCGATATATGTTAAAGGAAATATTTATATAGCATAAATCTGGCGCCGAAAGTGGGACAAGAATCACAAATTCAAAAGGATCAGGATACTTAACATATATAAAATAAAACGAGCGAAACTTTCGAGCTGTACTCGATTTAGATTGTCTGGAGATTACTTTTAAATAGTAACCAAAGGCAAACAGCTGTAGAAAAGAGTACTATAAGGAAAGAGTGTAACACCAATTAAAAGAAACAATAGAATTATGCTTCTAGAGGCTAAAGTCCACTACAAAAACTTTGATTTCGTGGTAAAAGGTTATTGTATTCATTAATATTAAATGAAAAAAAATCAAAAAAATAAACAGACGATTACTAAAAGTGGCTATTTGGCCAGACCAGATACGCAACCAGGAACTTTATACTATTTGAACGAATACTGGCAAATAGGATAAGCGAAACGGAAAGGATAACCTTTTTCTCCAGGGTATGATGTTGGTCGCGGCGTCTCTGAACAGAGCGCTTGTAGATCTTAACAACCTTAAGGATCACTATAACCAGGAGTAGTCCAACGATGAGCTTCATGGTCTTGTTGACATCTTGAATATCCTCCCTGTGGTCAACGATCTCTACGTGGTTAATCACATTGGCGGTGCTGTCGGTCACTTTGGAAGTTTCGCCGCCCATCTTGGGGTCCTTAGGCCATACACCTGGTTCACTAGTTCTTTTCGTCCTTCAGGATTTGTTGCAGGTTGACTTCCTCTAGAATGTGGTCGATCGCAGGACCAGTAATCAGGACTTTCTCCTGAGTGAAGTTGATCCTAGGGAAACGGTAAAGACATCCTTCTGGACATCAGCCTTCTTCCAGTCGTGGTCTGTGTTGATGGTAGTTGTACTTCTAGACCACTGTCAAGGAGAGATCAGAACAATTTCTGTATGACTTCTCTATTTGGCTGGGGTCTTTTATACCGGACTAGAGCTTTCGCTAGTCCCCCATATTGGATGAATTAACTAGGTGTTCCCACCTAAGGGTACTGCTTCCCCTATTTTAGGAGTCAACGGCCAGCTGGTGCACTTTGCTACCTTACTGGAGTACGGTTACGAGCAGGTCGATCGTGGTCGTTGTTCTGGCCACGCGACACCCATGAGTTGTCGAATTGTTTTTGCTGTTTTGCCCTTATCAATCGGAGTGTGGTTAGTCATTAGGGGCCCCTACCCTTAACTTATGGCAGTTGTTTTGCCGGGGTTAATCTTGTATGGGGGAGTGCGTACGTAATAGGCTCGAAGTGATCGATGCGGCTACGCATGGAATGACTTCGCAAAAGAAATCTTCGTACGGCCATCTCTTTAGATCTCCTTTTTCTCCTTTATTCTTTTCTTAGGCGCCCATTTACGTGTAACTTCGACCCACTACTTTAACCCAGTCTCAGATGAGCTAGTCGGGCTTATTACTTTATTATTTAATTACTGTACTTATTTATTATGTTATTATTATATATGCTGAAAAAGAAAAACTTTCCGGCATCGCACGGAAACATACATACATACATATTTATACCTGTAAATATGAATATGGCTCATAATAAAATATATAATATAGCTTTAATGAAAAATAATATATAAATATACAAAAAAAATAAAAGTGAGTAAAAGTTAAAAAGTTGAGAATAAAATTTCCGAGTGTGCCGTCACCACGGTTTTTGACCGGGAGCTACACAGCTGAAAGGTGAAAAGTTTTCCCATTTCCCGAAGAAAAATTTATTAAAAGTACAATAATTTTTATACCCGTTACTCGTAGAGTAAAAGGGTATACTAGATTCGTCGGAAAGTATGTAACAGGCAGAAGGAAGCGTTTCCGACCCCATAAAGTATATATATTCTTGATCAGGATCACTAGCCGAGTCGATCTAGCCATGTCCGTCTGTCCGTCTGTCTGTCCGTCCGGATGAACGCTGAGATCTCGGAAACTATGGGAGCTAGGCTATTGAGATTTGGCGTGCAGATTCCTGAGCTTCTTACGCAGCGCAAGTTTGTTTCAGCAGAGTGCCACTCCCACTCTAACGCCCACAAGCCGCCCAAAACTGTGGCTCCTACAGTTTTGATGCTAGAATAAAACTTTTAACTGAAATGTATTGTTCCCATCAATACCTATCGATTGACCCAAAAAAAGGTTTGCCACGCCTACTCTAACGCCCATAGCGCTTAAATCTGTATACCGCCGGTAGGTGGCGCATTTTAATCTCGCTTTGCTGCTTGCATATCTCTATTTAGCTGAGTAACGGGTATCTGATAGTCGAGGTACTCGACTATAGCGTTCTTCCTTGTTTTTGTTTCTTTTTTATTATTATACCCGTACTCGTAGAGTAAAAGGGTATACTAGATTCGTCGGAAAGTATGTAACAGGCAGAAGGAAGCGTTTCCGACCCCACAAAGTATATATATTCTTGATCAGGATCACTAGCCGAGTCGATCTAGCCATGTCCGTCTGTCCGTCTGTCCGTCTGTCCGGATGAACGCTGAGATCTCGGAAACTATGGGAGCTAGGCTATTGAGATTTGGAGTGCAGATTCCTGAGCTTCCTACGCAGCGCAAGTTTGTTTCAGTAGACTGCCACGCCCACTCTAACGCCCACAAACCGCCCAAAACTGTGGCTCCTACAGTTTTGATGCTAGATAGAAAATTTTAACTGAAATGTAATGTTCTCATCAATACCTATCGATTAACCCAAAAAAAAGTTTGTCACGCCCACTTTAACGCCCACAAACCGCAAAACCCTGTGACGCCCACAATTTTCATGCTAGATAAAAAATTTTAACTGAAATGTATTGGTCTCGTCGATACCTATCCATTGATCCAAAAAAAAAATTTGCCACGCCCACTCTAACGCCCATTACGCTTAAATCTGTATACCGCCGGTAGGTGGCGCATTTTAATCTCGCTTTGCTGCTTGCATATCTCCATATAGCTGAGTAACGGGTATCTGATAGTCGAGGTACTCGACTATAGCGTTCTTCCTTGTTTTTTTATTTTTATTTGTCTAACATTTTATATTAATTACAATGATTTAATCTACTAAGTTTTGCGGCTCTTTCATGATGGCTGCTACTTCTCGCCTCGCCTGTATACCAAGTTGAGGGCTTCGAAGGTAAAGTCTTCTGACCGCGCGGTTCATGCGCCGGCTCATTTTCCATGTTTCCCGTTGTATCCGGGCGATGTGTGTTTGGCTCCTTTGTAGTTGCTCCTGGACTCGGAGCAACTGGTTCTGGTCCTCCTCCTGATCTTGGCTCCGGTGCCGGATCTCTCGCTCGAGTTCAGCTGCCAGTTCTTCACCTTCTGTTTGGTATTTGTGTATCCAGCATTGCTGGATATGGTCCTCGTTCAAGTGGATGCTATGGCAAAGCCCGTTCATCCACTCGACGAGGAGCGCCAGATATGATGCCTGGTCC